TTCAACAAAAAAAAAACATTTTTTTTTTGCGAAAAACAGCAAACAGAGTAGAAAACATAAGAAGATAGTGAGCATGGAGAAACAGAAAGCGGCTTACAGCTTGATCAGTGGAGCTCTTGCTGTAGGGTACTGGAATCAAACGTTCTTGTAATTCACCTCCTATCACCTTTAAAAAGAAATATCAAAGAAGAAAGAAAAACAATAAAGTAAAATGATGATTGCATAGGTTGAAGAGTAATGAAAAAAGAGCAAGTGTGTGTGTGTGAAAGAGAGAAAAATAGAAATAGAATAATTGAGCAAGAAAATTAGATATAATTAAACTAAATAAATAACTAAAATCTAAAATAAAAATGTTTCAGTATGATAAATATGTGGTATACGAGAATTAAAAAAATAAAGAAGATAATAATAACCCGAATCACATGCAATGAATCAAGAGAGTGAATAAACTATTTAAGTTATAATAAATAATTATTCGCTGTCTTCATCGCATGAATCAAGATCCATAAACAAACTCACATAACAAAACGGAAGGGCAAATCAAATTTCATCTCAAACAAAAACATGACATTTTCTTTGTAATTTTTCACCAACTAGGACCTATGTCCATCTCTGTAGCATTAATATGATCATTTTTTTTTTGTCTTATATAATTCATGTTTGTTTGTATTAGAAGTAAATCAACGAAACTTAAAAAAAGAATTTTGAATAATAGCCATGAATCGCTTGGGAATATTGAACAAAAAAAAAACTATCCGAAAATTAAAATCCACTTCGAGTGCATTCATTGGGACATATCAATGCTAAATAAAGGCCGTTTTTTCATATGGGCACGCATTCTCGGCTACATCTATAATCGTGGCTTTTTTTATTGATGTGGTGTGCATTTCACGAAACCGGTCAATTTATCCTTTTATTTTGGAATGTGAATTCCATTTTTTTCTGTTTAACTTAGAGTGGATGTGTATGAGTTCAAAACGAATATCTAACTAACCTCAATGGGTTTAATATCATTTAAATCAGAACGAAATATTATTCGATTTTCAACATCAACATGAAGATTTTTTTACTCATCAATTCAAAACAAAACATGATAATAGTAATAATGAAATGTTTGAAAATCTATCCCGTTCCGATAAATGTCCATAAAATGAGTGAAGCACAAAAGTGCTCAGGATTAAATTGACCGAAATGGGAAGGATATATAGAATTGATTTAAAAACGAAAAATAAAACAGCTGCGCACGTGGAATGGTTTCGTTTCAATATTATCACATGCGCCATTCAAATTGCATGAGACGAAAATAGCAACTGGGGAGAAGCACTAAAAAACAATATCTGAACGATAGAGTGATTGAATGCGTAAATGAAATACATATTGTATGGTATTTGTATGAATTGTAATATCTTAAAGGACATTGTGTATGTGTGTGTATGTGTATTTTTGCTTTGGAAAGGAAGGAGAACTTAGAAGCCGGTGATCTTAATTTTTGGTTTTTCTAGTTAAAACACAGTATCAAGGACCTTAAAATTCGAACCCGAAAAATCAGACACATGATGGTCCTGTGATGATGCACGTATACGATGTTTTTAAAGAATCTGACGATAAAATCACAAAACAGTAACAAAAAAAAAATAGACGAAATTTGTTCAATTTGCATTCCGGTCGATTGTAGTCGGTTGATTGATGTGACACGATCTTCTCTTTTGCGCTTTTGTTTTTCTTGCAAAATTTTCGGTGACAATATCCTGACTTCATTGATAAAACGAAAATAGACTCTGCTTTTCTCTCGTCTAGTTATATCTTTTGACTTCACTTGAAGATTTCATTCATTTTTTTTTTTAAGTTTTGTTCATCGAACATTTAACGCAAAGAATTGAGAAAAAAAGGTATTCATAACTGGTAGTATGGTACCTCTTTTAGCAAAAGAATTCCATAAAGCTATTTTACCGATATTCAATTTTCTCCATTTTGGAATCTGATATGCGAACGCGTTTTCATATTTGGGGTTTACTAAGATAAAGTTCATTTTATCATCCAAATAGGTAGAGAAAGCTTGTTTCAATCAATATGAAATACAAGCGCCCAGATCAACATTTGAAATCAACTCAAGAATGTACATTCTTTTTCTTCTCTTCGACGTTTTCATCACCTCGTTTATCTCAAAGACAAAATACTTGTCTGCATTTCTTTGGTATCAGAATTTATTGCTTTTTATATACGGTTAATTGTTTATTATTCATTTCTAACATTGGACATCTATTGCTACACTCTTATATCGGTGGTATTAATATTTAGTATTTTGGGATTTTCAGCTACGATTAATCCAAAAGGACTAAAAAGTAATCCAATGGGATCATTTTATATTTTTTAACTTGAGTTCAATAAACACTTTTTTGTTGTTTGTAAAAAAATATCTCAAAATGAATCTTCCTTTGGAACACTGTTTCATATTGTATTGACATTTACATGAAACTTCAAATGCTTGTCATTGTCATTCGATTGCAAACACAACCTTTCACGGTCTTATGTTTATTGTGTAAATCACGTGCACCGTTGTCGAAAAAACTAAATTTTGTTTCTGTTGGAATTTCGATTAGTTTGTTTATTAGAATATAATTCTCAATAGAATCCTTTTTTCCATCGCTTCTGTGCAATTTATTAGATTTCTGATAAAATATTTTATAGCTAGTGAAAACAAAGTAAAGAATTGATTAGCGAATGGTTTTCAATAGAATTTTGGGTCGGTTCGCATCAATATCAACATTCCATGTCACAACCGCTTTTGTGTGCTCAGTGATTTTTTTTCAAAAGGGTAACATGGCAAACATTTTGCAAAATTTTCAAAATCCATCAGAATCTTGAACAATCGAAACACTATCGTAAAATGCGTGTTGACGAAAGATTAATTCTTGCTTTGTTGACGAATGATTTTCAATAAGATTCTTTTGCATCGAATATCAACATAAATTCCGTATCACACCTTTGGGAGTGTAATTTAGCGAACATTTTGTCAGCATTTGAAATCGGACTGCAGAATTATGTAATTGTATTTATGCAAGAGTGAAATGAACGCATTGATATTTGTTTATTGTGAACCCGTTCGATCACATGAATCGGTGATTGTATATTTTGATAAATTTTTAGAGGCCTGTTTTTAAAATACCAGGAACCTATAAATTCATCAACAATAATACATTGCGATTTTTGAGTATAATTAATAAATTTATTTGATGGCATGCATAGTCTATCATAGTCATTGTAGTTTTTGATAAATATAACAGTGGCCTGAATATTTTTAAACCGGCACTTTTATATTTATCAAAATATATTTTGATTATTCATCAATATTTCGAGGTATAAATATCGGTGGAGATTCCAATACGTTAACAGTTGCTAAAAATGAGCGGTCGCAAACGGAATCACGAATCGGCGTTTAAGCCACGAAAGAAGATAAAAATTAAAGAACACCAAACAATTAAAAAAAGTGATCGAAAAGGTTTAAAAGTGAATCTGCCTATTAACACTGGAAAATTTGCTCAGTTGATTGACGTATACGTATTAGAAATGACACGGTGCTACATATTGGGTGTACTGAATTTGCATTATTTCACCAGTGATCATTTCAATCGCAGTACAGACGAGCAAATCGAAGCATTCTATACTCAATTCGTCGACAAAAATTTATTTCGAGATTGGTTTTACGGCGTTCAGTTCATTGAGCATGCATTTAACGACGCCAGAGAAAGCGGGTACAGGTTGTGTTACGGCATTTGGTACTATTGCCAAAAATACGGTGTTCGAGCTCCAGTAATTAAAGGATTCGGGAATGTAGTTGAATACGCAGTACAAATGTTTTATACAAATTACAAAAATAATATTTGTATGCACGCTCACTCACGCATCCGAAAGTTTTTCACACATCAAAACGCGAGCAAAGCACAAATTGATGACACCATGGATTTCTTATTCAAGCAAAACTCCAACTGTGTGCCAGACCTGAATTTGATGTGGGAACTGGAAAATACATTAAAGCCAATCCGATTCGACGATGGGAAAGGGTACTTTTTTTGCTATGGAAAGCAATTGGTTCAAATACATACCAATATTCCTGAATTTGCAACAGTGAGTTTTCGTTCATTTATTATTGTGAATCAAACGATTATATTTTTTATGCGATTTTTTTCCATTTTGAAAATTCTACAAATATCACACGAGTAATTTTATCAATTTATTTTTTGGAAAATATACAAAAATAGGTACATTCGCAATCATGAACGTGAACGAAAAGCCGCATTGAAGCGAGGTGAACACAGAAATTTCACCGTGGTACCAACGTCATCGTTCGAAAGACATTACATTCGAATTGATCGTAGAGTGTTTTATCGCATGTTGAGACAGATAGAATGTCCACATCGATTATTTCGCAATAAAAACGGCGGCCCAAAACAGGAGGAAGACATCAAAAGTAAAGAATGGGATGTATTATGGCGTCTGTATTTCGACATCGATAGCATCGAAAGAGAACCGAGAAACAAAAATGATGGCCATGCAACAATAAAATTCGACAACTCTATTCAAACAGATGGTGTCGGTATGTCATTTTTGATGGAACGAACAAAATTCATCATTGAAAAAGACGATGAAGAGCGTATGAAAGAGACACAAGAGATGCTTCTGAAAAGCCAACAAGTGTATGGTCTCGATCCTGGACTACGTTTGGTCATTGGTGGTGTGCGCATTAACAATTTCAACGATCGAAATAATCGCACTGAAACAATCATTCGATTGACATCGGGCCAATACCAAGATATGATAAATTCATCGCGACGGAACAAATGGCGCAAAAAATTGACAATTGAAATCGATGAAAAGATGCGTCTACATCGTGAGTCATTTGATGAGCAGCCTGGTCCACGAGCCGAAGACCATAAATCATATGCTGATCATATTTTGCGTCATTTTGAAGAAAAGTTCACAGCATACAGATAGTATGAATACGCTTTGCAAGCATTTCTCCAGTACATTGACACGAATAGAGCACTTGATGCATATGCAACCAAGCTCATCGATGGTAAGCAAATGTTCATATTTGTCGGTGATCGTTTCATTGCGGCAGATTCACCAGCCCGAGGATATATTCGATCGAAGGTGCGAGATTTGTTCGAGAAGTTGAAACGTCGCCGTAAATGTACAGTGGTCGAGGTGGACGAATTTCGAACGACCAAATTATGTTCGTTGTGCTTCCGTGAACTTGAAAAACCGACAAAAAGAGGCAAAGTAAAGGAGAAATATCGCTATCTCACATGCCATGGATGCGAACCATTGTGTGGAGAAAATGTGCTTGGAAAAGCCCAAGGTACGATTGAATCACGAAAAAGCAATCGCAAATTGACGCAGCAACGAAAACATCGTCCCCGTACTGATGGTCCACGTATGGCATCAAAATTTCGTAAATATGAAGAGAAAACTCGAATTGGGCGTACTATCACCTGGAATCGTGATGCAAATGCAGGTCGTAACATTCTCTACAAAGGTTTGTGTTTGTTAAATTGATATGCTCTCAGTTTAATATGAAAAAGTCAATGAACAATAGACAATGAATTCGTTTTTTTTATTCCTTACAAACAAACAGGATGGTGTGCTGTTATGAATATAGAGCTACATCCAGCATTTCAACGGCATGTTGAAGAAGAAGAAGAAAATGCAGGAGGAGGAGATCCACCGCCAGCACCACAAGCACGAGCTCGACAATCAAGACGAGCAGCATCCAATCAAGTATGTAATCATTTCAATAATTCTGCTTTGAATTTATCTAATCAATTGAAGCTACACATACTTTTAATTTACGTTCATATTTAGAAATTGATATAATCATTGTCATTTTCAGAATCAACAAACAACACAACGAACATTGCGTTCTCATCTGGATCAAGCGCGGAGCTCTCGGCCGTAAGCCCTGGGTTTTGTGCGGGATTTCAACGTGTTCCTACAATTCGCTACAATTAGTAAGTATTTAAATTTAATCCTACAGTGCTAAAATTTAATCCTTTTGGATTATTTTGATGAAAAATCCCAAATGATTAATATTTAATCCCTTCTATTTTACATTGTAATTAGATTATACTAGATTGCGAGCGATTACTAGATTGAGAGCCAACTTGGTTCAGCCAAGCAATAAATTTACCACCCATATAAGTGTTCACATAAGATATTCCTATTTTTACCACATGATTAATTGGATTATTTTTATTTTTATGGCAGTGTTTTTACTTTGATACACAGATATGCTTATCTCTTTACCTCGCATTAAAATTTACATTTAAATTTGATAGGTAAATGGCTCAAAATACTCAACATTATGCCGTATTAAAAGTTTTTTTCTAAATGAATGCCTGTAAATATGTGTAAAAGATGTTTTCACACATCGCGCATTTTAGATGATCAACTTCTTTTCATTTATAACGATATCAATATCTTTTTAAATGTTTAAGTAATATCTGATAAGAAACTTATTGGGCTGGTTATTTTTTTGTTTTGGCCTCAAGCACGCATGAAGTTAAATTCGACGAGAGGAAATTAATTTGAAATTAATAAATTAAAAAGTAAAAGAGCAAACAAAATAAATAACTCAAACGTGTGAACAAAAGCAAAAAACAAAAAGACTTTATTTGTTAGCAATTCATAAAAGCAATACCAAAAATAAACTTAAATGATACAGCGAAAAAAACAAAAGCACATCTAAAAAAAAAAACAAATGACACAAGAAAAAAACACACAAAACAAACGATAAAAAAATATGGTTTTATTTGTTTTAAAATTTTTGGATCTTATTTCCATTTTACTTGTCGGTATTAATTTATAAAATAGTATTAAGACAAAAAAAATAATAATTAGAGAAATCGAAATGAAATGGTCTGATAAGTATTTTCTACTTCTTTTTCTTTCAATCGTTCATGTGTCGTGTTTTGAGCGTTGAACATTAAATAGTTTGAGAGTGCATTTTTTTTCTCCTCCACGTCAATATTTTCGCTTTCAGTGTGACTGCCTATGAGACGATTGGATTTTATCAAATGACACCGCATAGATATTGTCACATTTTCCGAAATGGAGACATTTAAATGTCCAATGCTCAAATACACAAAATTAAATAGATCCTTCCTTTACTAAATAATAAGTTCATTTCATTTAAGTAAATTTTGTGTTAATCGTTAATTAAATATTTTATTTTCTCTACTTCAAAGGTTGAAAGTTTTTTTTCGTTTTTCGCATTATTTCTCAGAGACAACAAACGAAACATGTGTGTATATTTTACGTGTGTTTTGGGTGTGGGTGTATATGTGATTTTTTTTTCGTCTTCATATTATTTTTTTCGTTTCGGGATTGTTGACAATAACTATGCCGCAAAAAATCGAGTATTTTGAATGTGTGCGTATTTCAAGATGGAATCATATAGTGATTTTTTTTATTTTCTCTGGAACAAACGAAAAAAAAACGAAAAGAAAAACGATGAAAATAAGAGTGCGATTTAAATGTGCGCAAAAATGTCGAATTCTGGAGGAAGGGTGATTCTAATTCACGCCTAACAAATTCTTATCTACTGAAAGAAAGTAGTTTCTCTATATTTGTTTGTGTCTTCTTTTTTTAAAAAAAAAAATGTTTTAAATGCGTGTTTCATGAACGGGTCGCGGTAGATCCTCATTATATCTTTGTCCGCCACGACCACCGTTTTCAGTGGTGACGTTGTCTTCGTCAATAAATGACATATCAGGTAAATTTGACGACATTGCCACAGCCGCCGATTGCGAGTCTCGTTGCAATAATTGCTGTTGATACTGTTGATATGCTGCAAGCGGTGATAGATTTTTTTGTGTGCCAATGTTAAAATATGCCATATTAGGATTTAACTGCGAACGTAAGCTACGCAAGCTGTGCAAACTGTGCACGGATCGTCGTTCTTCTAAATCTTCGAGGGTTGAACGAAAAGCCCGTATTACGCGAAGCTGCATATGTACGGATAAAACAGAAAACAACATTTGAAAATAAAAATAAATAAAAAAATAAGAACAAAAATCAAAATCAAATAATAAAACAATTAAATGAAAACATATTAAATCAATTCAAAATAAAATAAAAAAACAACAAAATTCATTTTAACAAACGAGTTTTTTTTTGTCATTAAAAAAGTATATAACAAAAAGACAATAAATAAAGTTGAAAATGAAGAATAAAAAGCATATATCAAATAGTTTTTAAAAGAAAATAAAATACACGAGAAAGAGACAGAGAAAAAAGAAAACACAACAACAACGAAAGTCAGCATTGTTAGTTTAATCGGTTTTGATATCGTTTCTTTGTTTGTTTGGGTTTTTTTGGCTAACGTGATTCGATTTACAATGATTTTTTGTTTTAAATTTCTTTTCTTTTTTCTTATTTCAAAATAAAAAACCGTTGAAACTTTGATGAAGTGCGTTTCAAAAATGTTCTCATGAACTACGGATGCTTGAAAATGCAGGGAAAACTTTAACTTGTAAAAGGCATTCATTTCCAATATTCTTTATCATTTCGTGCATTTAACTTGATAGGACTATGTAAAAATCAGCAACTTCATGAAAGTTTTTGGACGATTGTTATATTTCAGCAACAACTAAAATCGCTAAATAACTAAATCATAATAAATTCACTTGAACTTAACAGTATAAGAAATAAACTGAAAAATTAACGTTAATAGCAAATAAACGAAGAATTTTTCTCTTTTTTGGCCTACAGCTGATAAATCTGAGACAATTTAATCGACACGAATGTGATAACGGTGAACTTATTTGGTTGCGCATCATTTCATCCATCGTACTTAATTGAGGATATATATTTCCACAGCAATTCTTAAATAGATACATTCATTTAAAAAAAATTATTCTAAATTTTAATAAAAACTAGACTGAGCTAATTAGTCAATATGGACGAAAGTTCGTTCTGCATTTTAAAAATAATAAACCCTTCGTATGATTTTTAAAAAAAGAAGGAGAAACATTGCTTCTCCCTATACGTATTGCATAAATGATAGTGTTTTATTTGTCAGTGGAAGTTGTTTCTGCATTAAGTACATAAAGTTTATGTGGTTAGCTTGTCTGTTCGATTTCGTGGTCATATTTGGATTTTGTCTGTCGATTTGAATTGCAACTATTTGGTAGTGGCATGTGCACTTCTGGTTAGAAGCAAGGTAAAGCTGGGCAGGGTGCTTTATGAGATTTGTTTTTGTATAAATTCGGTTTTGTGTGTATTTTGATGTTGATTAGTGAAGCCTCGTAGCGCGTGTTTTCAATGTTCTTTTTTACAAACATGGGTGTGTGTGTGTGTGTGTGTGTTAGATTGCCTACTCCAGCTTTTCTGTATCGGTGACCACATTATCTGTTTCCTGAAATATACATACGGCCGGTTGTTATTCAATACAATTTTGAATATTATTTGTTTTTGAATGGGGATGGTTGAGGTTTCGCTGTTACGAAATACGACAAACACAGAAAAAAGAGATTATGAAGCTGCCGATGCAAACAAATGCAGATGGTATATGATGTACAGTGAAATATATAAATGCGGCGAAACGAAATTTCAATCTGCTAAATGACTATAGTAACAATAACAATACGAAACGACACTTCCATGTATTTGTTGATATCATTCGAATTTTATTCTAATAATGGCACAGCGGTTGGCTTTTCTATATTTGTATACTATATTAATGGTAAATGATACACGTAAAAGTACAATTGATGAACTAAGTATATATTATCTATTGAAAATATCGTGTATGATATCCATCGCATGCGTTATACGTTTCCTCGATTAAGTACGGTGATTCCTTTACTTCGATGCTCAACAAATATACCAATGTATTTCTAAGATTCTTTTTTTAAATCTAAATGATACCAATTAATGATTGTTCGGAACATATTTAGAAATAATTTCTCGATTCTTATCCAACCTTTCACGGAAAATCGTCTAACAATAGAAAATTCAGCAGCGATTGTTAGATAATTTCCCCCTCAAATCACTAGGTTTCCATCAGATTTTTTTTTTTTTTTTTTTAATTATATTTGCCAATTTGAAAGGCTAGTATTGAATACTATGGTTTTTTCATGATGGGATATTTAAAGCACTTCTTTGACAGACTTGAAGTGCATTTTTGATTGCGATTTATGATTCCGATATATTTTCGTTATCAATCGCATTTCAGAAGAAAAAACGTTTTTTTTAATCACATTTTTCTGTGTCAGCTTGATGTGATAAATTATCTCAGTTTTATTGGAGTTTTTTTTTGTGTTGATAGAAAAAAGTAAACATTTTATGTGTATATATATTATATCAAAAGCGATTAAGAAAGAGGATTTGAAAGAATTTGAAATGAAAAATTAAAAATGATTAGGAAAAAACCAAAAACCAAAAAAAGAAAGACATCGTTTTTTTATTGTTATAGAAAAAGACACCACAAATGAAAAAGAAACATATGTTAGTCAGCACACTCATCAAAATGTCAATCAAATTATGACATTTTTAAACAAAACGCTTTATTGTAGTTTAATAATTAGATTATTAATATCATTGGTTTTTATTTAAATCGGTTTAGATTGCAATGTCAAAACGATTTCGCAACGAACGTCGAAAACAAATCAAACGGAATAATCAAACACGAAAAAATAAATATAATTAAATTAATTAATAACGAATAAAAAAAGAAATAGAGCGAAAATTCAAAACAATCAAGCAAATAATGAAATAAAAACATATTAATATATATTTCCATTTTAATCAACTAAGTTTGAATACGTACATGTTCGGCTCGATAAATAAAGAACGTTCGAGTTCTAAAGTAAATACATAATCGTTGATGTATCTATGTTTATTGCGAAATAAATAGATTTTCGTTCAAAGCATTGTGTTCAGTTTTTCTTTTTGTATTTCGTTTCGTCAATTATGCAGGTTGACGAGAAAAAGCAAAAGTAAATGAACGAGTGCTATTTCAAATTTGTTTAAATAGACCTCAATGAAATATAACGTGGCGTGGTTGAAGCCAATTTTAGGTGGTTGTGCTTCGAATAAAACCGAAATCTGATTTAATTTCGTTGGCTGCATAACATAAGCATATAATGGACACATTCAATGAACTGTGTGCGCTCGCGCGAATCATATTATATAGCGTGTCCAGTCATTTCGGGTGCATATTTTATCATTGAAATTATGAGCAAGGTGTAAAATGAAAATGGAATTTGTTTGTAGTCAAATCAATTTATCAAAATTCGTAACACAATGTTTCGACTGTCACAAATGAACATAGAATTCGATGAATGTGGTACACTTTTTTTTTCTCTTTAAGGTCGATGAATATGATGTGAGCTTTTGAATTGTTTTTATTTTAGTTTTGTTGATTTGATGTGTATGAACAAATAATCAAAAACCCAAAAATATTGTTCACGAACAAATTGGTTTGTTGATTGTCTTTGGCAAAATATATTAGCATATTTTACATCCATCGTTCACATGCAAAAAAAAAACAACATCCGTCGACATTATATCATGCGAGTCGCTAAATACTTTTTAGCTGATGAATTATTGAACAATCAAATGAGATTTTCCAAACGAGATGCATGTATTTATTTTTTTTGGGCAAATATATTTTGATTGAATTTCATATCAATGAATTTTGTCCATTGTTTTATGGCAAATACTTTTTTTTGTTGTTGCGATAAATGCAATGAGAAAAAGAGAGAGAAAGGGATAAAAAGAAACAAATGCAAACTCGAAAAACATGTCCCACACTCAAGATATACCTCATTTTTTTACCTGAATATTTCTTTTTTTCCTTTCAACTTTCAAACAAGAAAATGAAAACACAAGCAAAACTCGAGAGAGAAATGACATGATTTGTTTTAAATCGAAAGACAAACATTAGAAATGGGATGATTTCGTTTTTGTTTAATTTATTTTGTTAGTTTGTAAAACGTATATATTTATAATATAAATTTTATATGTTTGGCTGAACTGTTTCGTTTGATTTGAATTGCGGTAAAAGTAGCGGCAACATTTTGGCGAATTGTAATATTCCATTCTTTGCCTTCCATGCTGCGTAAAAAAGTTAAAAAAATCTTATTGATTTTAAGAAATATTCAAAGAGAGAGTGAGAGAGATAAAGAGAAAAAGAGAGATCGAGCGTGGGTGCGTGTAGGTTGGTGTAACTTTTAGAGAATAAATGGAATTTAAATCAGTTAATAGTTTAGCGCTTGAATACATGATGCGAATGTGGAAAAATGTTGGACCGAAAATAAAGTGCAATATAATTTTGGGTTTAAAATTGGCTTGGAATAATGAAGATCGGAGTAATATCTATGTATAGCTGTTGCACAATTTCAATTGTGTATTTGATGCGAGAGAAAAAAAAATACAATATATTGTCTCCTGTAAAAAATGTTTGTTTTATCGTTGAATCGAACCAATATGAGTAAAACAAAATCAAATGCTTATCATAACATTTCAATGCGGAAATATTTTGCATTGATTGAGCTAGTCTGTTTGAATACAGAAATAAATAACTAGAAATAATGTGTGAACAAAGTGTATCTCCCATTTTGGTTGTGGAATGGAACAAAAATAATATATGCATACACATTAAATTCAACAATGTCTAACGCATAATTTTGGGGGTCGGGCAGGAGTTACTGGGGATTACAGGTGTGCTTCTTATATCGAAGTAAGTAGTGCAAAACTTTATTTCTAAGTTTCTTCGCTAAGCGAAAATCACACTACATTCAATACGACATTTTGAATGATTAAATTATGTAAATGCACTATGTGTAGAAGAGCGAGATAGACACACACATAGAAATAGCGAGAGAGGTTAAGACAAAGAACTTGAATATTCAGGTATTTTGAGTAAAATAATTAAATTTGGGGTGATTGGGACACAATGGGGTAGACTAATAGAGGTTAAAAATAATGCAGATCACCAAAG